GGAATTATTGTGAGAGTGCATCTAAGGTAATGTGATATTTACATTTTCCCAAGGCACTATAGACCGACACCTATGTCCATTAAGTAGGGCAAATTTGGTTTCTGAGCTAAAGAGAGAGAGGTTCAGATTAAAAGGAAAGTTTAAGCACTTCTATCTTACAAAATGTTTTTTTGTAAATTTGTTTCAGTGTATGTAACATGTTATTTAAAGCCCAAAGAATAATATGTTTTCATATCTGTGTGACTTACTTTGCTTTTCTAGAATCTTAGAGATACTTGAAATTTCATTTCTAACTATAAAGTCATTACACCTGCAATGCTTTTGCTATTACTGCATTATCACTCTCACCTTAGTCTTACACGCATGAAGTTTTAGCTGATCCTGCATTGGAAAGGAGTCATTTTATGCTGGCTATATCTTTGTTAGGGTCACAGCTACTCCTATGCTTTGTGGAGGTCCAGCCTCACACAGGGCCTGGCTGGGAGACTAAGGGCAGCAATGCTCTGAAGAGCTCCTGCTTCCTTCACCTCTTCATTCTTACCACTAGTTGCTGAGATTCTTATACATGGCATAAACTTTTACAATTGTCAAAACCAAAATAATACAAGAAATGAACAGAGCAGCAATCTATAAAACAGCACAGACATGTCATATTATTTCTCACTAACAAGTACTAATAACAGGGGAGAAGTAGTTACATCTTGTGGAAACAGATGGTAGGTTAAAACGCAATGGAAGAAATTGGGCACAGAAAACATAACTCAGGTTGTGGTTTATCTAGTGCTGATATTATTTATTAAGCTTAAATAATATTAATGAAATTGAAAATGGCAGTTGTGAAATCTGTAGTTTAGGAGAACAGCTAAGTGAGAAGGGAGACTATCTATTGGGATGCTGCAGTTATTTCTATTCCTGTGCAATGTCTTCTTCTAGACTCTGTCCACTTCCTGTATGTGTGTAAATAGTTTATAAATGTAAATTATATGCTTCCCTTTCGAATACAAATGATTAATTATGAAAAGAGTATCATAAGAGTTAAAATTAACAGGTATATATAATTTCTGTTTAGATTCAAATATTTATATACATGTATTTAAGTGACTGATCTAATAGCAAAGTATGACTAGGCTGATGTTAAAATGAAGTTATCACCAGACACAAAATTTATCATGGGGAAGAGAAAAGACCAATAAACTTGATGATAAGACAGATTTGGGGAAACTAAAATTAGGGACAAGAGTTGGTCACAATAAAAGGTTTACTAACTAAAAACTATTCTGTTGCCTAATTTACAAAGAAACTGAGGCCAAATATGACATATTGTTGCTGTCAAGGCCAAATGTATTATTGGTCACCTTTTCCTCAATGGTCTTCTTTCCCTTGCAGCCACTGCCTTAGACAGAAATCCTTTGCTGTGAAGCTCTCCTCAGTTACTTGTGGTCTCACAGCATGACCCTTGCTTTGTTTTTCGAGGGCTGCCTGCCACATGAACAGGAGGAATTATACCTCCGTGACAGAGTCCATCCTGTTGGGAATTTCTAACAGTGAAGGGCTGGAGACCATGATCTTTGTCCTGTTCCTGGCCTTCTACCTCTTCACTTGCTGGGAAACCTGCTCATCTTCCTCACCATTTTGGCTTCCTCCAACCTCCGCACCCTCATGTATTTCTTCCTGGGAAACCTGTCAGTGTTTGACATATTATTTCCTTCTTGTGAATACCCTCAAGATGATGGTTCACCTAGTGGGGCAAAGTCACACCATATCTTACCAAGGCTGTGCCTCCCAGATCTTCTTTTACCACATCCTGGTGGCACTGAGTGTTTCCTGTTTTCAGTGATGGCCTATGACCACTTTGTGACTATTTGTCACTCCATGCAATACATGGTCCTCATGAACCATAGGGTGTGTACTTGCTTGACAGTGGGCACTTGGCTGGGGACTGTCTACATGGGAGCACATTTCTTATCTTTAAGTTACCCTACTGTGGCCCCAATGAAGTGGACAGTTTTTTCTGTGACATTCCAGTGGTGCTGCCCCTGGCTTGTGCAGACACCTCTGTAGCACAGATGGTGAGTTTCACCAATGTAGGTGTTGTTGCATTGGTGTGTTTTCTACTTATCCTCACTTCTTACACTCGCATTGTTATCTCCATATTGAAGATCCGCTCCTCAGAAGGCAGGCGCAGAGCCTTCTCCACCTGCAGTGCCCACCTGACTTCTATCACTTTGGTCTATGGTCCTGTGATTCTTGTCTATCTTAGACCTGCTTCCAGTTCCTGGTTAGATGCTGTTGTTCAGGTCCTAAATAATGTTATTACCCCTTCCTTCAATCCCTTGATTTATTCCTTGAGAAACAAAGATGTGAAGTTAGCCCTGAAAAAAGTATTAATTCAGGTGACCCAGCCTCTGGGGTAGAAAAATTAGAGCAATTCCTCCCTCAACTTCTTTTAGAGATAGCTTCAGATCCACTCCTGTTACCTCACGATTAATGCCAAATAGTCAGTTGGGCAAAGTTAGTTTCTCTCATTTCTTGAGAGTTTAAATAGTGATATCATGGGGAATGGGTAGACCAGGACACTGATTTACCCCTTCAGTATAGCTCTTTAGATTGCCCTAGCAATTTTTCCTGTCTCAATTTGCCAAGCAATGTTATCTTTTCTGCTTCATACAATCTGTTTCTCTTGTCACTTGTATTGCCATGAACTGTGATGTTCTAGAGGCCAAAATATGTGTCTCAATCTGTTCTACTACAGCATCTCTCTCCACTACATACAGCCAGGAACTGGTGTAGACAAGGCTGACATTTAAGAGTAGGATTGCAGTTTGGTAAATGTAAGTTTAACCTGAGCTTGTAATTTCTTTGGCTTACCTATATCTCTTTCAATTTAGAGCTTTTCTCCTTTGACTGCAGGGAAATCTGGTGGTGGACATCATTCATTAAATCTTTTGAGAAGGTAGTTAGCAAATTATCATTTAAAATGGAAGAACGTGGGCTGGTGGAGTGGCTCAAGTGGTAAGAGCACCTGCCTAGCAAATGTGAGGCCCTGAGTTCAAAAACCTCAGTGCCACGATAAAAAAAAATGGAAGAACAGAGTTTGTAAATTTGTAAAGCCTTTTTGAGCCAGACATTTCTATCCATTGTAGGTACTATTCATTTCTTGGAATTCTAGAATATCTGTCATTAGTTGAAATTAAACCACTAACATTATAGTCATTTTTTGAATATTTTACTATTTATGTATTTCAATTTAATCAAATCAACTTCAAAACAAAGAAACATGTGTTTAGATTCACTTCAACAGCCTAAACTAAGTACTAACATTGCAAGCCTGCTTATCATGTATACGACAGGGCTAGAAATCATCTATGTGTACTGACTAAATTAATCACAGGGTCCTAAGTGACAGATTCTATGATGTACTCAGTGGGAGAAACCAGGAACAGAGAAGTATTCATGGCCAGGCTGGCTGAACCTATAATTAAATCCTAAGTTTTTTCTCAGGCATTCTGCCATAATTAAAGGACAAAATTCTGTATCATGATAGCTACTTATACATCTTTCTTTATATACATAGTTTACTGTGATAAATACTTTGCATATATTAACTAATGCAATCTGGACCACATCTCCATTATGTGCAAGACAACTGAGGCACAGGGACTTTGAGTAACTGTATAGACAATAGTGTTAATGCTGGGGTAACGAGGGAAACACTCTGGGTAACATTCACAATGATAGGAAAATCCTAAATTCAATTACAATAGTAACAATATTCATTCATTAATTTAGTCATTGATTGAGTAATGAACTTAAAATTCTCCATTTGCATAGTTCAATAAGGACCTGGGTAGAATGTTTGCTAAATGACACATACAAGGCAAAATGGAGAAAATTATCTTTCCACATCCATTTTTGCACATCTATCTCTCTGTGCTATAAATCAAGCATAAATATATGATCACCTGATTTTCTACCCTCACACATCTCATGAACAGTCTTATTGGAAAGTTCGTGGATCACCTGCATCATCTATGCTATTGTGCTAAAGGTACCTATTGTAGTGCAATGCTTTACTCTAAAACTTTGCAGCTTAGAGCAATTTATTTCTTACATTGTCTCTAATGGTCAGTAATTCTGGGGTGGCTTAGCTGAGTGATCTTAGCTGGGGTCTAACAGGACATTTGCAATCACATTGTCAGCTTGAGCAGCAGTCCTCTGACACAGGATCTGCTTGCAAGGCAGCTCAGTACAGGGCTGTTAGCAGATGCCTTCCATATCTCACTCATCATATGGGCCTCTTCATTTAGCCACCTACATGTTCTCACGTGTATGTCAGCTGTTTCCTGTACTATGAGTGACCCAAAGGAGGGTCTAAGCAACAACCTGCAGAGCCTTTCATGACCTTTTCTCCAAAGTCACATACCATCACTGCTGCTTTTATTTTTCTTTATTGCAAGTTGTTAAGGGCAGCTTGTAGTCACTGAAAGATAAATTAGACTCTACCTTTCAGAGAGAATGTTAAAATTTTGTAAACACATTTCTAACTACCACAGATATAGAGGTATCTAATTTAAATGGTTACTTCGGTTTAGGATTATTTGATACACTAACACGTTCTACATTTCAAATGTCTAATTTATTCTGCTTTTATGAAAATCATGAAAATTTTTAGATGTTTTTACTCATTTTCTATCATTTGTATAATATCTGTATATCATTCCACAACAGTATCATCTATCAGCCAATAATTTTTATTGCTTATATTAATCACTTTGTCATTAAAACACAAAAATCACAACACTTTACGTATCATTATTTTGGATTGTTATATGATTCATAAGTTATTCAAAATATTATTATAAGTGAAAAATCAGTGGGTAACTTACAACACAATTAAGTCAAAGAGCAGCCATTAAAGTCACACCCAATGCTTACTGGCAGTTTGCTATTTATAAAACACAGTGCTAGTTAACGAGGGTGTAGTATTGAATAAAACAGATATGGTCTTTGCACCTTTGGAATATAAAGACTTCTGGAGAAGACAGACATGTAACAGAAAGGATTACATGATTAAGATAAATAATTTGAACAAAAATAGAAGAGGGACTGTAAAACTTAGGTTTAAATACAGTGGCAATGCCAAGGAAGGAATAATCCTAGTAAACAGACAAAGCAGGAATTCTAAAGTGCTTGTGTGGATATAGAAACATCACAAATATGATTCCATTTTTTCTCCTTTAATGTTAAACTTGTTAACTTGAACATTCTTGGTCCTGCTTACTGGAACTGGAATATTAGTTGAAATAGCACTTTTGAAATGAATAAAATAGTATGCTAAAAAAGTGAACTCTGATGAAAGTGGTTGTAGCATACTTAGAGCATCACAGTGACCTCTTACAAGTGTGCTTGTTTTCTAGGAAAGAGGATTTTCTATTGATAGCAGCTTTATTTTAATAATACAATACTTTGAAAAGTAAAATAACAAATCACCTACCTTTTCAAGTTGTCTGCAATCTTTTTAATGTAAAAAATTATATAGAATACCTCTTCATTTCTCTAAATCACATCATATAGTGTTTTCATATCATAGCCACATCCTCTAATCTGCACTAAACTGTAAGGTTCCTATCCCTGTTCAGTCCAATGAAAGAGCTAATGGCAAATGTCTTTGGATCAGGATGAAGATAAGTATTTCCTTTGTCTTTTATAACAACTGATTCTGTTAGCCCATAGAGGGATGAAAAAGTCACAGTTGTGTCTGCCATTGTTGGATTAGAAAAACCCTTTCACTTTGGCCATCTCAGTCATAATGCAGTATGTCAGTCTAATATAGTCAAACATCCTGAGACCAGTTAAGTCAACTCACTGTGATTCAAAAGTGTCTACAAATCCCTCTGATGTATTCATTCACTTTTTATTCCTGAAATATCAACAATTTGATTCATTTCTTCTGTGATTACCAACCTATGGTATTATCTATAACAACCCCTAGAAGGGGTCCAGTAAACTACACTGTTATATGTTCCTCCCTTTCCAAAAATAGCCGAGACAAAACCTACACTGTCAGAATACATAAAAATAACAAATCAATTATTGATAACTAAGTTATATAATTATTAAGATAAGGAATGTGGCTTAGACCTGGGGATACATGCTATTTATTATCTTTCCTTCGGGAAAGAATTTGGTTCCTATTTTTCTAGACTCTAAAATCCTTCTTAAAGATTTCAATTTAGATTTTTCTTCTCCTTATGTCACATCGTTGCTCCATTGTCAAGAAGCAGATGACTGTAGGTAAGTGGTTTATGTTGTGCACATGTTCAATGTTATTTTTCTGTGTGGCTCTGTAGAAAAAATTAAAACCAGATGTTGTAATACCTCCAGCATTGTTATTTTTGCTCAGGATTGCTTTGACTAATTGGCATCTTTTGTGTTTCCATGTGAATTTCAGGATTTTTTGCCTAGTTCTGTCATTAGTATTAAGATGGGGATTCTATTGACGCTGCAGAATACTTTCAGTAATATGACCACTTTAATAATATGATCATTCTGCTGATCCGTGAAAATGAGATGTTGTTTCCTTATCTTAGTGTCTACTTCAATTTTTTTCTTCATGTTTTAAAAACTAATTTTCATCATAGAGATCTTCACTTTCTTGCTTGAGTTTATTCGTAGGTATTTTATTTTTCAAAGGAGCTATTATGAATGGGATTGGTTTAATGATTTCTTCCCCAGCAAGTTTATTATTGGTGCATAAAAAGGTAATGAATTTTTAATGTTGATTTTGTATCTTGCTTCTTTGTAGAGTTGGTTTAGCAGATCTAGGAGCTTTCTGATGGAGTCTGCAGGGTCTTCTAAGTATAAGGTCACATCACCTCTCATGTTGATCTCTGTCACTTTAAGGTTTCTGTATTAGTTCTTCTGGAGTGGGGACATCAAACACTTTCATGTTTTGGGTTTTCTACCCATTCCTATATGTCCCGTATGTGCTCTCCCCTTGTCATGTGATCCAAGTCCAACCACATTGCTGCATTTGCCCTAGATCTAAAGTCTGCATATGAGGGAGAACATACAATTTTTGGTCTTCTGAGCCTGGCTAATCTCGCTCAGATTGATGTTCTCCAGTTCCATCAATTTACTTGCAAATGATAAGATCTCATTCTTCTTCATGGCTGAGTAAAATTTCATTGGGTATAAATACCACATTTTCTTGATCTATTCATCAGTAGTGGGGCATCTTGGTTGTTTCCATAACTTGGCTATTGTGAATAGCATGAGAAGGGGATTAGGAACCAGTGTAAAGATCAGTGAGAGATGAATCAACTTGGGTTGTAACACATTTGTACATGAAAGCAATGCTAGGAATCTCTATATAGCTATCTTTAACTCAACTAGCAAAAACACTTTGTCTTCCTTATTATGCTTATGTCTTTTCTTCAACAAAATTAGAGATATGGGCAGAACAGGTTCTGCCTGGAAGCAAGGGGGGGAGGTAGGGAAGGGGGAGAGGGTGGGGGAGGGGATTGGGGGGAGAAATGACCCAAACAATGTATGCACATGTGAATAAATGAATAATAATAAAAAAACTCACATCACCTGAAAATAGGAATACATTGTCTTCTTCTTCTACTGCTTATATTTCATTGCTTTCTTCCTGTTCCCTTTCTTATTATGGTTAAGATTTCAGTCACCATATTGAATAAAAATAGAGCAAGTGAACACACTTGTCTCACTTCTGATTTTAGAGGAGACACCCTCAGTTTTCACCATTGAATATGTTGATGGTTACAGGATTGCCTTATATAGCCTTTATCGTGCTGAGATATGATCCTTATATACCTGGTCCCAGGATTTTATCAGGAAAGGATTTTGAATTTGGTCAAAGGCTTTTCCTCCTTCTATTATGATAATCATGTAGTTTTTATCCTTGATTCTACTTATGTACTATATTATGGTTATTTGTTCATGTTTGTTGAACCATCTATGCTTCCCTGGTTTTTAAGTATCTTCTCTCTGAGAATTTTTGCACTACGTTCATCAAGGATATTGACCAATTGTTTTCTTTTTGTTTGTGTCCTCATCTGGTTTTGGTGTCAGGGTAATAGTGGCTTCATGGCTTTACCTGTTGGGACATGTTTAATTTCTGTTTAAATTTCAATGTTTGCATTGATCTGTTTTAGAGTTTACATATCTTCTTTCTTCAATTTTGGTAGGCAAAGGAAAAAGGGTTTTTTCAATTACCTGAAGTCACTGAGTGAGTAGCAGATATGGTGTTTAAATGCAGATATATCTAATCATAAAGTTTATTCTATACTACTTGTAGGGTCATCTCCCTTCAATTTTGAAGACGATGGAAAATCAATAAATGAATTATTTGTTGTCACACATGAATTAGCAACAGAATTGAACTGAAGTTCCTCACAGCATATAGGTATCACCAGTTCACAATGGATTCTGTGCAGATATTCATCTGTCTGGGATAAGCTCACTTAAGTGAGCCATTCTTAGATCTTTCAGGACTAACTAAGGAATCACACACCAGTAACTGAGTTCCTCCTGATGGGAATCCCTCATACAACTGGGCTGAGAAATGTGCTCTTTTTCCTATTTCTGGCCTTCTACCTATCCATCTGCTTGGGAACCTGCTCCTTCTTCTAGCCATCCTCACCCCTTCTAATCTCTACACTGCAATGTATTTCTTCCTGGGAAACCTGTCAGTGTTTGACTTATTTTTCTCTTCAGTGAGTTCCCCCAAAATGATGCTGTACCTGATAGGGCACAGCCATGCCATCTCTTACCAGGGCTGTGCCTCTCAGGTCTTCTACCATTTCCTGGTCTACAGGGAGTGCTTCCTGTACAACGTGATGGCCTATGACTATTTTACAGCCATCTGTCACCGTTTGCAATACATAGTCATCATGAGCCATCGGGTGTGTGCCATCATGATTGTGGGCACCTGGATGGGGAACTGTGCATGCATTTGTCCTCACATTCCTCACCTTAAGTTACCCTACTGTGGCCCAACTGAGGTGGACAATTTTTTCTGTGATATTCCGGTGATGCTGCCCTTAGCCTGTGCAGATTCCTCTTTTGCTCAGACAGTGAGTTTTACCAACGTGGATGTTGTTTCACTTGTGTGTTTCCTCCTTATACTCACTTCTTACACTCACATTGCTCAATCCACATTGAAGATCTGTTTCTCAGAAGGCAGGCGCAGAGCCTTCTCTACCTGCAGTGCCCACCTGACATCTATCCTGCTGTCAGGATATGGCCCAGTGGTCCTCATTTATATCCAACCTGCTTCCAGCTCTTGGTTGAATTCTGTGATTCAGGTGTTAAATAATATTGTTATGCCTTCCTTCAATACCTGATTTATTCCTTGAGACACAAGGAGGTAAAGTTGGCTCTGACAAAGGTGTTAACTCAAGGAGTACATACTTGTGGAGAGTAAGCTTTATGTCATGATCTTACAACTCTGCCTCATACTTTCTTGGGAGCAATTCTTACGTGGTGTGATTTGGGTGGTGTTTGGGACAAACAAGTAAGACTTAATAGATTTCGGTTTGATTAATGTCTGCATGTTTTTGCAATTTTTATTCAACAATATCTTTTATAATGTTAGTATTTACTAAGCACTATTCTATGCACTTTACAAATACTGACATATGTAGTTAACATAATAATTATATGAAGTGAATTATATTATTATCCTATTGCCCTGAGGGAGTAATTAAGATGCTGAGAAGTTAAGACACTTGTATAATGTCACAAAGCTAGAAAGTCACTAAGCTAGGATGTGAACCAAAGCCTCTTAACCTTATGCTAATGCTGCCTCTGTCATGTGGGATTGTACCATAGATACTCAGTTCTTCTAGGAACTTCTTTTTCAATTTTCATAACATGTTCTCAAATTTGACAAGTCTATACTCCATTAAATTTTTTGTATTAGTTTATATCAATATTTTAGTGGATCACATTTTTTGGAAACAAGGTAACATCTATACTATCAACATATATGCACATACAGCCTCTAGTCTCAGGTAAGCATCTTTCTTTATGCCAATAATTTCAATTTTTAAATGACTGCAGCTTAACCTTCATTCATTCAAGGACTGAATTTCAATTCCAGAATTGCTTGGCTTTCTAAAATAATAAACATTTCTTCTTAAGTAAGTTGGTTTGAAAACATTTCAAGAAATTGCCAAAATTAAAATGAACAGAAATTACTCATTATTCCCTCCTCCATAAATTAAAAAAAATTGTCACTTTCCTTAACTCTTTTTTAGAAATTTAATCAGAACTATGATATTTAACTTCTTGTTTAGCATTGTTTTATCGATATATAATCTGTTTCTATGTTATCTATTTGTATTGTTATAGATGCATATAAATATGATCATATTTTGTTTACCTTTTCTGATTTTAATATTATACCAAGTATTTTCAATTGCCCAACTTTTTAAACAGGCTTATTGAAATAAAATTCACATACAAAATAATTTATTCAGTCAAAGTAAGTAATTCAATGGTTTCTTGTATATCTACAGATACATACCATCATTACCAAGTCAATTTTAGAACATATTTATCACCATAAGAAGAATCCATGTATTTTCAGCTATTGCCTCCCTATTTTGCCATCACCCTCATTCTTAAACAACACTAATCTAATTTCTGTATCTATAGAGTTGCAAATTTCAGACATTTCATGGAAATGGAGTCAGATAACATAAACTCTTTTGTGACCAACTTCTTTGGAATCCTTTGTTTTCAGAATTCTTGCTGAAGCATGTTTCTTCTTATGGCTTAATATTTCATTGTATGGTTATACTGCAATCTGTTTGTCATCTGTTGATGGGCATTTGAATTGCTTCTTTTGGCTATTGTGAATAGTGCTACTATTCATATTTATGTATAAATTTTTTGTTTGAACATCTGTTTTCAATTCTTTGGGCTACATGCCTAGTGGGGGAAATGTTGGATCATATTATGATTCTATACTTAATCTTTAGAAGGGGCAATATTTTCCTTAGTATCTGTACCATTTAATGTTCCTACTATTACAGGGGTTCTAGTATGATCACATCCTTGTCAACACTTTCTACTTTTAAAAAAATTATAGTCATCCTAATGGCTGTGACATGGTATCAAATTGTTTTAATTTGAATTTTCTTGGTGACTAATGATGTTGAATATTATTTCACATGCTTATTGGTCATCTGTATATTTTTTCCCACTCTGTGGTTTTTTTTCTTTATTGGCAATGCTATTTCCAATTTTAAGTTACAGATTTAATTAATACTGGTCTTTTTCTGAATTTTATCATTTAGGTCTATGTTTAGCTTCATGATCCATTTTGATTAGTTTTTATAAATGCTGTGACATTAGGGTCAAAATTCATTCTTTTGCAGGTGGACATCTAATTGTACCATGACATTTTTTGAAATTCTTTCCCATTGAGTGATGTTGGCTCCATAGACACATTGGTTGGCTGAGGCTGTGGTCTCAGTTCTGTTTTTCTGTTCTATTTGTCTACTCATTATGGAAGGCCACACTGTCTTGATTATCATTGTTTTGCATTAAGTTTTGAAATTGCTAAGTTTGAGTATACTACATTCTAGATCTTTTTCAAGAGTATTTCAATGGCTCCTTGAAATTCCATATCAATTTTAGAGTGACCTTGTTAATGTCTATAAGGAAGACCACTGGGATTCTGATATGGGTTGCGTTGATTTGGTAGATTAATTTGGTGGGGATTGTGATTTAACAATTTTAAGTCTTCTAACTCAGAGTCATGAGATATTTTTCATTCATCTAGATATTCTTTACTATTTTCTGCAATGTGTTGTAGTTTGACATATACTAGTCTTTCACTTTCTTGGTTAAATTTAGCCCTAAGTATTTTATTCTTTTGAATGTTATTGTAAATTATTTTCTGCAATTCCTTTTCAGAATATATCATTGCCAGCATACAAAATTAACATTGATTTTTGCATATGATCTTAGCTCGGTGGACTACTTTATAGGCACTAATAAGTTTTTAGTAGGCGTCTGTGAATTTCGTGTGATCATGCCATTTGCAGATACAGAATATTTTACTTCTACCTTTTCTCTACAGATGCATTTTAGTTTTTTCGGCTATTTTTCTTGCCTTATTATTTTGACTAGAAACTAATCAATGTTGAATGTAAGTGCTGAGGGCAAATATTCCTGTTTTTTTCCTCACTTAGGGCAAAGCATCTGACTTTCACCATTGAGTATGATGTTGGCTATGTATATTTTTAATGATTTTTTTTTATTTTGGAGAAGTTTCCTTTACTTCCAACTTGTTTTGAATTTTTTTATCATGAAAGGATTCTTATTTTATAAAATTTTTTTATGTTTATTAAGATGATTGTGTGTGCACATATGTGCTTTCTAATGTGGTGTGTAATATGCTGGGGTTTGAACTTAGGGCTTTGCATTTGCGAGACAGGTACTGGTACACTTGAGCCACACCTCCAGCCCACATGAATTGATTTTTAAATTGGTGTGTATTAATTGTACATTGATTTTTGATTTTAGTTCAATTTTGCATATTTGGGATAAATCTTCACCTGGTCATAGTTTATAGTTCCTTTAATGCTGATGGATTCACTTTGTGAAAATTTTGTTGAGGATTTTTGTTTTCATATTTACAAGAGATATTCACATATTTTTCTTTTTTGTGATCTTGTTATCAGGCTAATTCTGGTTTAAGGAATGGTTGGGACAAGTTTTTCCCTTTGGAGAATTGCTATTAATTTGTTAAATGTTTTATAGAATTTAGTAGTGTTATATGCCAATTTGAAGTGCTGCTGCCAGTGTTGAGGGTCCTTGTCGTCACAGGCCAGAGAACTGGCTCCTGAGGCAGTTGATTGACTTGTAAGCCAGAGCCAGTATAGGAAATAGAATTTATTAGACAGAAAGGAAAGGCTACAGCTTTAGCAGTGCAACTGTGCCCAGAAACTGGTAGCTCCCTGCTCAGGTATAGGCTGGGGTTTTTATGGACATTTTAACTCTGGGTTAGGTGGGTTCTTTTTATTGGCTGTGGGTTCTTTTCATGGGCTTTCTTAGATGAACTGGTTTGTTTGCCCCTTATTGGGGGAGGGGAAGCAATCTTGAGAGCATTTTGCTCATCTGCCCTGTGGGGCATCTATCAGACCCTGTATCTCTTCTTTAGGATACAGAAATGCAGATTTACAACTCCTTCTCAGGATGCAGGAATGCAGGTCTATAACTCTTCAGGATGCAGAAATCATAGTGTCCTCCATGGAGGGATGGGGTATTCACTCATCTGCCTTGGGTCTCCAGACCCAACAGTAGCAAAGCTACGTGGGGCTGGGCCTTCACTTGTGTTTAGTTTTGCTGGTTTCTATATTAATCTCTTTACTTTTTGTAGTCTATTCAAATCACTTACTTCTTTTGGAGTCAGTCATATTGTGTCCTTCTAAGAATTCAATCAGTTCCTCCAAGGTATCTAACTTATTGACATATCATTGTTTATATTATTCCTTTATAATCCTTTTTGATTTCTTTAAGATCAGTGGCAATGTTAGTGCCATTTCTGATTTTAGTAACTCAAAACTGACTTCCTTCTTTCTTTCCTTCTTTCCTTCCTCCTTTCAAGGTTTGTCTACTTTGTTGATTCTTTCAAAGGAAAGAGTTGATTTAATTGATATTCTCCACTGATTTTCACTCCAATCTTTTTCTTCTTGCCATCAAAATAGTTTGGTCTTCTTTTGTTCAGTGTTTCAAGGTGGAAACTTAGGTTACTGATTTCAGATTTTCTCATTATAGGTACCCAAAGGGTAAATTTCCCTGTAAAAATGCTGCATTCATACAGTCTTTCATAATGGCATAATTGCCTTTACCTGTGCTGTTGGATTCAGACTACTGTCTGTAATCATTTACTTTAGGCTTACAACACCTATGTTTTCTTATAAGGTGGCTCTGCTACAAGCAAATTTTATCAATTTTTGCTTATCTGAGAACGTATTCACCTTCATTTTTGAAAAACAGTTTTGTGGCATGTAATATCTTGGCTGATTTTTATTTGTTTTCTTTGAGTCCCGGAATAGTTATTACATTTCCTTCTGTCTCCATTGTTTCTCACAAGAAGGTAATTTTATTGGGGGTTCCCTTGTAAGTGAAAAAATGAAAATATTCCTTCATTGTTGGAAATATGCATGATATACTTTAATTTGTAACTGATTGAATATATTTTATGTCTAATGAGGAAGGCTAGAATTAGGGAAAGTTCAGGACTGTTGGAAAATATATGACTTAATATTGTATTTCAGATTGAACATTCCTCTCTTTCTCAAATCCTTCTTTTCCATTGCAAGTGTGTGTAGGTTATTCACACCCTAGACCAGAGACAACTAAAACCACCTTCACCTAGCCCAGGGACCACCCATGCCGCTCCCCACT